TTACGGTGATACAAAACAATGTCTTGCAGCAAGAACGTGCTTAGCGAAGGATCAGCACTGCCGGCTTGAAGGCGGTCAATGACGAGGAGTGGTGGATCTCGCCCTTGTTCATCTGCCACGTGTAGAAAGTCCACGATTGCAAAAATCTAGGCATCGGCTTCCAGTTCAGCAGAGTTGAATGGTTCATTCGGGTGGCTAAATGAGCAGTCGGCATAGCTGTGCAACTTTCCAGATTTGTACACCACTGAGAATGCGTGATCCTGCAGTCGTAATGCCCATTGCCCGAGTCTTCCAGAAGGATCCTTCAGTGTTGATAGCCAGCACAGCGTTGGATAATCTGTGATGACTGCAAATGGGCGTCTATACAAATATGGACGAAATTTAGTGATGGCCCAGACAAGAGCTAGACATTCCTGCTCGGTAATAGAATAATTCCTTTCAGACTGTGACAGAAGACAGCTAGCATATGCTATAATACGGTTTGTGCCACTCTGTACCTGAGCGAGTGTAGCCCTCGATGCCATGGCCGCTTGTGTCAGTGCGAAGCTCTATTTTGGGCGGCTGGGTCGAAATGGGCCAGCACTGGTGGTGTCATGAGAGCGAAAATCATTGATGCGAAGGAATGTGCTTGGTTCGCACCCCAGGAAAAAGACAGGTCCTTTTTAGGAGATTCGAGAGGGGTCGAGCAATATCCGCGAAGTTGACGACAAAGCGGCAGAAGTATGAGCAGAGTCCCAGAAAGCTGCGAACCTCTTTTGTAGAATGTGGAAAACGGGAAATGAACAAACAGTGCGGATTTTATCGGGGTTGGGTGGGACTCCAGCAGCCTCGACAAGGCGGCCAAGTAACTCAATTTGACGGAGCCCAAAAGTGCGCTTTAACTAATTCAGATGGGGCCAGCACAGTGAAACATGTCATGAATGGCTGACAGAAGCAGGGCTATCAAATGAGGGTGAGAACAGGGTGACATCAAGATGATAGCAAAGGCAGGTTGACCATTTAAAACCGTGTAGGAGAGAGTGCATCATGCATTGAGAAGTTACAGGAGCGTTACACAACTCTAACAGTCAGACCTTAAATTGGTACAGATCGTCAGGTGTGATGAATGTTGTCTTCTCACGGTCGTGGTCATCTACTGAAATTTGGCAATATCCAGATCGAAGATCGAGTGACAAAAAATACTTGCAACCATGGAGGCAGTCGAGAATGTCGTCAAGTCGAGGCAGGGGATAGACGTCACTTTTAGTGATTCGATTGATGTGGCGATATTCAAAAGTGCCAACTGTTGTCTTTTATTTTTTTATTTTAACTACAGGTGATGCTCAAATACTAGATGAAGGCTCTAGGACGTCTTTTTCAAGCATTTTTCTACCTCCTTCTGAATAACTTGGCCCTCCGCGTGCGACACACAGTAAAAGCATTTGTGAAGGGGACTGGCATCGCCGGTGTCAATATGGTGGGTCAAGACGCTAGTGCGGCCCAGTGGACGGTCGTCAATGTCAAAATATTGTGTAAGAAAGCAAACACAGCGCAAGGCTTCAACTTAGGAAGGTAGGAAGTCACTGGACATCATTTCGCCCAGGAACATCTAATTGTGCGCGGATATGACAACCTTGGTCCCAGTGTTTGCATCAGGGGTGAAGGAAGACATTGCGCATATTTCGAAAGCTCTGCTAGCACGATGCCTTGGGGAAGAACTTCGGCTGACGTTCAGAAGTTAAGCACTGGAAAAAGCATCTTGTTGGTGAGGAGGGACACATACCACCACCAGGAGATGACGTCACTACTAACATCACCACTAACAGGGACACGCACCACCACCAAGAGATAACGTCATTGCTAAACCCCTTAAAACTAACACGCCAAAAATGACAAGGCGCCTTGTACAAAAATAGGTCCTCTTATCGAAACATCTGCGAGCCTGTCTGAGGTACTTTCACTGTTCACTCTGATTATTCAACTATGTGTTTCGATCTGTCGGCTCACATCTTGATTTTATATTCACAGTGCTGAAAGGAACTTCTGACGTGAAGTATATAGAAGTCTCGTCAAACGCAGAAATCGACCGTCGGAATCAGCATGAGTGGGGCAAAAAAAATTATCACGCGATGACGTCACCATATGACGTCACAATGAGCTCAAGGACAGAAAATTTTGTGAAGTCACCATACGAGACCATCGCTTGGTCAAAGCTAGGTCAATCGTGGAGGAACCTAATTAGTGCAGAAACTTGCGCTCTCTGCAGAGAGGTGTGGTGAAGGATCAGTGCTAAACAGAAAAGATGGCTCTCGCCTTCCAGTTGTCATAAGGCCTGACGACACCGAAGCGCGTCAGGGCGTTTCTTTCTAATGCGGCGCCACACCCTCTCTTTTTGGGGAGAGAAGGCACACGGATATGCGAAGCGCGTGCCCTCTCTCCACATAAGGGAAGGGCTCTACGCTGTGTCAAAAAGCAACGCGCCGATGGTTTCAGAAGGGTACGTGTGGTCTGACCTACAGGAAAGGCTTTCTCATGATTTCCTCCAGCTCACCCTTCTGTTCAACATGCTTCAACCATTCACATATAGAGGCTCGAGGAAGCAGCATACTTGGCCTAGGTAGTTCTTGTCTCGGGGTTTTCGATGTAATCTCGCTCTTGCCCATGTCATCACACTTGCCCATACCATCACCAATCAAGGCAGAGGGGAGTCGAAGGTTCGTCACAACGCCTCCATCCCTATAGAATCAATGCATGGGGCAGACTTTGCACCCTTTCCCCAACTTATCACAATACTCCTATCTATACCCACATAAAATGTTACTTTATGTTCAATGCTACAAAATTCATACTTACTTTGACTGTTATTTTTTAAGCAGTGCATTTGTATTATGTCATGTCCTTATAATATTTATTTGTCCCTCCCCCTATGCAACATATGCCTTTAAAGGGGCCATGACACCCAATTTTCAATCACAATCTGTGTAATGTGGGTTAATACTTGTGCTCACACAAATAAATTGGCGAAACATTAGCGCATTCGGTTATTATTGTGCACTTGAGTTATTATTGAATGTTTTTGCAAACACGCGAGTATCCTGAGACCAGGGCAACACCAGAGCACTCGCCAGCCTGAACGTAACAAGCAGCTGTTTGCGCGGGTATTCCCTCTACTTCAATTTTTCACTGGAAACTACAAACTCTTGGGTGGCCATGTCTTGGCCCCTTTATGGATTCAAGAAATGACGATGAAGAGAAGAAAAATATGCAAGAGACCCTGAGATACAGTGCACTTGGGAGCTTTTATTTAAAGGTGTTCTGCAACATTTCCGAAGCATGGTGAAAAAAAATCGCTGCCAATCGGTAGTCAAGGCTACTGGAAACACGCAGGCCAAATAAAGCGCAGCCCGCGACCTAGAATTTGCAATAAATTCTTAAAGTCGGCAAAAATCGCCTTCTCTCGGCTCTTAGCAAATGATGCTATATACTCGAAAATCATTGTGCCACAGGCCCAAGTATCAAGTGACGCCTAGAAAAGACCCAGCAGACAAGCAAAACGAATAGGCAGAATACTATGTATAAGAACAGCCAGTTCAGCGATCGAGTGTTGTCGCTCTGTTCTCGTAGCTACAATAGCACAGTCTTGTGTATCACCCAAAACAATGGCAATCAGTGGATGTATAATGATGTGATATGGCGACTACTTTTCTCTCTACCTGCAGTGAGTTTTTTAAGCACGTTATGAAACATACAATTCTTTTATTAGGTTGAGTACTTGAGTAGCCCTCATAGGGTACTACCCTATGAGGGCTACTCAAGCTCTGCATTTATCTACACTATTCCTAACAAGGTTTTGTTGCGGAATAAATTCCTGTTTCAATTGAATTCAACCAGCCAAGAAAGCCACGTTATGGTCCCCAAGATGAACCAGCTTGTTAAATGTTTAGCTTTTTCTTGAACATCTTCTTTCTTTGTCGGGTATAATTACTTTGAAGCAATATGCATTGCTGTACCTGAAGAAAGAAGCAGCTGAAAGGCTGAACTGGTCACATTTGACGCAATATAGCTGGTTAGCAAAGCAAAAAATGGAACTTTTTTTTTTTTGTGGATGTAAATTGTAGACGACCTCTTTGACATTAATCAGAGAATCAGAGAGACTAGAAAAAAAAACATTGGCATTTTCAGTAAACCGCACATATATTATAGTAGAATTAATAAGTATGATGGTGAGTGCAAAAACCACGAGCATTATTTTAAAAGAACTGCAAATAAAAAATTCAATAAGAATCATATTATACTCAGTTTAGCATGTCAGCAGCAATAAAATCATGAAATACAGGAATTTCCTTCAGCCGACTCACCTTGAAGGCAATGGTCGCATGAGATCGAAAGTGAAGAAAAGTGCGCTCGTAATCGATTTTAAGGTGCGAGAAAACACAATCACAAAAGAGGTCACGGGACGGAGTGCTAATCCGCCTCGGTGGAACAGTAGCTATGGTGCTCAGCTGCTCACCCAAAGATCATGGTTTCGATATCAGCCCTGGCGGCCAAATTTTGATGAAGGCAACATTGTAGACACCCCACTGTGCGATGTCAGTGCATGCTAAAGAACACCAGATGAAAAAAATTTCCAGTGCCCTTCACTATGGCGTCTCTTATAAGCTCAGCCATCATTATTAAGGCGCAGCACACAAGGTAAGATAGAGTAGCCATAGAACTGATGCGTTTTACGTGGTATTAAGAAAAGGTGTCATGTGTGTTAGTGACATTTTCGTAGTGTTGTATAAACACGAGTAAAAGTGTATTGAGCATGCATTATAACATTACCTTTGATGTGAACATATTCACTACGCACGCTTTGACAAGGATGTATATTATATGTATGCACACTTATGCAAATAAAAAAGTTTTTAGTGGGGTTTTGTGCCGTGTGCTTTCATGTGACTGTTTTTTTCACGCCTTAAAAATAGCATGACCGTACACCAACTGGCCTCACCAAAAGTTCTCTAATAAAATATTCGTACCTGGAGGACGTGCCCAGAGCTACGGACAGTGGGTAGACCATGTTTCGGAAAAATGGGCCCAGCTGACGATGCGTGAGGAACAGGTACAGTGTAGGTAGCACCAGCAGGCCATGCAGGGCAACGGCTGCCAGGAAAGCCATCACGTACATCGACAGGTCGCCCGTCAGGGCCTGCACTCGAAACAAACATCCCTTTTTACTGGCAGCACATATCAAGGACACGGACAAAACAGCAAATTCGAGACAACAGAGCGCAACAGCAGCTCATTACTCACAGATCTTGCTAGAATCACACAATGTCGTACGTCACGTGTGCATATCTCTCACAACTAACATGGTTGTGAGAGCTATGCACATGTGTGCATGCTAAACTTATAGCATATTGTATAAAGCAGAAAATGGGAATAGTTCCTCAAATTACCATCCAATGACAACATTGCCCGTTATCTCTAAAGGGCTAGAAAAGGTTATCTGTAAGCGAATTATACTTTCGGCAATAAACACTCCTTGCTTGCGCCAGAACAGTTTGGTTTTCCTCAAGGTTGAACACCCACAAAAATGAATCGTATTAAAGGGGGGAAGAACACTGGGTGAATGTATTGATTTTCCTAAGGCGTGTGACAAAATACTCCATGAAACTCTGTTCACTATACTAGAACATTATGGTTTCCGAGGTGTAGGTATAAATATTGTCAATTCTTGTCTAGTAGCTGAAGGCAATGTGTAAGCATTAGAGATCAAAGTTCTTCGTTAGTAGACATAAACACCAGTGTTCCGCAGAAAAATGTGTTAGACTCCATGTTATTCAACTTCTACATATACAATGTGGTAAGAGTTAGCGAGAACGCTGAATTTTCAGTCAACGCAGATGACACGAGCTTGTTCCTTCAATCCAATGACGTGTTTTATCTTAGTATACTAGCTCAAGACATGCTCGAAAAGCTACAAAAGTGGAGTGAAAAGAATTCTCTTGTTGTAAACGCTGCTAAAACAAGGGCTGTTCTGTATAAACCTACAAACGAAAAATATATATGGTAGCGTAGACTTACATTTCAGTGACAAAAAGATTGAGATTGCACAATACGTTAACCTGTTGGGAGCCACTTCGAGTGAAGACTTAAACTGAAATTCCTATGTGGGAATCGCATGTGTAAGCTTGCCAAGGCATGTGAACTACTTCGAAAATTCCGAGATAGCCTCCCAAGAGTTGAACTCCTTATTTGTATTTCCCTATTTCAATCGCACGTCAATTACTGTACCCTTGCCTGGTGAAACATCATACAAAAGAACAAGCTGATGATGATGATATGTGGAGTTTAACGTCATTAAAGCACCATTTGATTATGAGAAACAGTGTAGTGGAGGGCTCCAGAAATTTTGACCAACTGGGGTTTTTTAATGTGCACTCAAATTTGAACACACGGGCATACAGCATTTTCACCTCCATCGAAAATGCAGCTGCCACAGCTGCAGGATTCGCTCCCGCGACCTGCAGATCAGTAGCCGAGTACCTTAACCACTAGACCACCGTGGCGTGGCAGAAAAGAACAAACTAAAATTAATCAGGCTACAGAAGAAGGCAATACGACATATCGCAGTTGTTCTATACGATACCCATACATTAGCCTTATGCACAACATTTAATGTGCTCCAAGTAGAACACAGCTGCACGAGTTCAATATCTTTGCTAAATATGGCATAGTTTGAAGAATAAAAACAATTTTCTCACAGTGTGCCAGCTGAAAAAGTCATCTGCAACACTTTGCGACATAATGAAAAGTGACACATGGCATACGCTTTCACGAACAAATTTTGGACTTGACTGTCATAAGCACATGATGCCAAACTTTTTGAATTACCTAAACAACAATGGCATTGGAAATCATATGTTGATATACAAGCAGTAGAAAGAATATTTTATTAACAACCTCAGACAACGTCCCTGATTGTGATAATTTAATCTCAAGTCCATTGTGATAGTGTATTATTGTAAAGTATCAGTTTCAATTTGAAATTCCTTGCTTGGTTTGATTATCAGTACATTTTTGCTTTTTTTTTACACATACTACATGCACAAACACGAGCTGTTTCATGTACTTCTGCTTTCATTATGCATACCATTCATACGTAGTGTTATTTTTTTTTTAATGCGGAGCATCGTGATTTCGCGCTTCGGCGTCAACATTGGCAGGGTCCACACCCCCATTGTGCATGATCGCATCTCGCGTATCATGCCACATGCTCGCTGGCCCAGAAAGACACCCGCAAAAGTATCGCTTCCTTTCCCCTCTCTCGCCTCACAAGGTGGATGCTGGCAGTGTCTCCTAGTAAAAAAAAAGCGACTGCTCGCACTGCACAACCATTCACTGGCCAACCCCTATATGTAGGCACTGGATCGCACGTTAGGAATTCAGTCAAAAGCATGTTTACTTGGCTTTTGCTTGATGTTGAAGACAACGCTTCTTCTACTTTCAATAAACACGAATAATAAAGAAGAAATA